AACTGAACGCGAACTGAACTAGAACTGAACTAGAACTGAACTAGAACTGAACTAGAACTGAACTAGAACTGAACTAGAACTGAACTAAACTGAACTAGAAATGAACTAGAACTGAACTAAAACTGAACTAGAACTGAACTAGAACTGAACTAAAACTGAACTAGAACTGAACTAAAACAGATCTAGAACTGAACTAGAACTGAACTGAACTTGAACTGAACTAGAACTGAACTCGAACTGAACTAGAACTGAACTCGAACTGAACTAGAACTGAACTGAACTAGAACTGAACTAGAACTGAACTAGAACTGAACTAGAACTGAACTAGAACTGAACTAGAACTGAACTAGAACTGAACTAGAACTGAACTAGAACTGAACTAGAACTGAACTAGAACTGAACTAGAACTGAACTAGAACTGAACTAGAACTGAACTAGAACTGAACTAGAACTGAACTAGAACTGAACTAGAACTGAACTAGAACTGAACTAGAACTGAACTAGAACTGAACTAGAACTGAACTAGAACTGAACTAGAACTGAACTAGAACTGAACTAGAACTGAACTACGAACTGAACTAGAACTGAACTAGAACTGAACTGACGAACTGAACTAGAACTGACTAGAAACTGAACTAGAACTGAACTAGAACTGAACTAGAACTGACTAGAAACTGAACTAGAACTGAACTAGAACTGAACTAGAACTGAACTAGAACTGAACTAGAACTGAACTAGAACTGAACTAGAACTGAACTAGAACTGAACTAGAAACTAGGAACTAGAACTGAACTAGAACTGAACTAGAACTGAACTAGAACTGAACTAGAACTGAACTAGAACTGAACTAGAACTGAACTAGAACTGAACTAGAACTGAACTAGAACTGAACTAGAACTGAACTAGAACTGAACTAGAACTGAACTAGAACTGAACTAGAACTGAACTAGAACTGAACTAGAACTGAACTAGAACTGAACTGGAACTGAATTAGAACAGAACTAGAACTTGTCTATCGACTAGTCTTTAGACTTGTCTCTCGACTTTTCTATTGAATCGTCTATCGATTAGTCTCTAGTCTCATCTATAGACAACTTGATAGATTTTTCTATTTACTAATCTATAATATTTTCTATCCAATAATCTAAAAAGTAAAATTGAACATTTCGACCGGTTCCAACAGAAATTAAAAAGAAAATCTCCACTTTCAAACAAGTATATTTTTCGACAACATTTCTTTATGTAAAATCAATTTTGTGTGGAGTTTTACCATGCATACAGAAAAAGTCCAACTAAGGCTCCATGTTTGTCATACTCCATCATCATCATCGTTGCTGACAACTTGTATCAGTGTTTGTTAGCTGTATTTATCTCCAGCTAACATAGACTATTTGTGGCATAAAGCAAAATATATGTAAAATATAAATACATACAGTTTTTTTAAGCACATCCATAATCTTTTTGCTCAAGAGTACAACGACAACGAGTCAAGCAACAACCAACTAACCAAACAGCCAACCAACTAACATGTTTCACTTTTTTGTTTTTGCACTGCAAAATTTCTATATGAAAACAAATAGTTTTATGAAAAACAGAAATGCACACTCAACATAAATAAAACAAAAGTAGAGGAAAAACATGTTTGTTCATATGTTTAAGTCATTGCTGTTGTATGTGATGTGGTGTGTAGGTGCCCCTGTTAATGTAGAAAAAATAGCAAATGCAGAAAAGTTTATTGACTTTTTGACCTCTAAAACCACTTTAGAGAAGAAAAACTCATGAATACTACTCGTTGTTTAATGTAATATTTGGTATAGTATGTTTGTATGTTTGTTGCCTTGCGCTATTGTAATGTAAGTTTTACGAAAATTTTTAAAGAAAGCAAAAAGAAAACAAATCGATGAAAATGTTTTTGATTAAACTGAATTTAAGAGATTTAGTTAGAATATAAGAAAAAGTTTATTTTTTCTTTGAATTACATCAAAATTTTCAGTTTATAAATAAATTTAAACAGTTTTAGTTCAGTTCTAGTTCAGTTCTAATTCAGTTCTAGTTGAGTTCTAGTTCAGTTCTAGTTTAGTTCTAGTTCAGTTCTAGTTCAGTTCTAGTTCAGTTCTAGTTCAGTTCTAGTTCAGTTCTAGTTCAGTTCTAGTTCAGTTCTAGTTCAGTTCTAGTTCAGTTCTAGTTCAGTTCTAGTTCAGTTCTAGTTCAGTTCTAGTTCAGTTCTAGTTCAGTTCTAGTTCAGTTCTAGTTCAGTTCTAGTTCAGTTCTAGTTCAGTTCTAGTTCAGTTCTAGTTCAGTTCTAGTTCAGTTCTAGTTCAGTTCTAGTTCAGTTCTAGTTCAGTTCTAGTTCAGTTCTAGTTCAGTTCTAGTTCAGTTCTAGTTCAGTTCTAGTTCAGTTCTAGTTCAGTTCTAGTTTAGTTCAGTTCTAGTTCAGTCTAGTTCAGTTCTAGTCAGTCTAGTTCAGTTCTAGTTCAGTTCTAGTCAGTTCTAGTTAGTTCTAGTTCAGCTTCTAGTTCAGGTTCTAGATCAGTTCTATTAAAAAATACCAATAAATTTTGAATTTGTAGAAAATTTGCAAACAAATTTTGGAATTTTATGAAAAATATCGGAATTTATTTTTAAATATGTATTAATTTCTCAATCATTATGTTTAAAGGGGTTGTTAAATGACAATTATTTATTCATTAAATAAAATTTTTCCATTTATATAAATGTTTCATTATTATTTTTATTGATAAAACAATTGGTCATGTGTTTTCTATAAAAAATACTTCATTATATATCATATTCCATAACTATATACTTGCATTTATTAATTGTATATAACAAACACCTGTAATAGATAAGCATTATGTGAAACAATAACAAACTATCCTAAATGTAGAAAATCTCAAAACCCTAGAGCTTCTTTTTCTTTATACACCTCCCCCTTTTTCTGTTTGTTTTACATTTTTATCTTAGTTACTGCCAGTAGAACTGTTTTTTTTTCTCGCTCTATACAAACATTTTATCGACCAAATTGTTTGTAGTTAACTATATAAACTTGTAGTATGTAATATTAATACCCCTAGATTTTGTAAACAATGTCGTCCTACACTCGTTGTGATAATAATACTCAACTAATCAGTTTGTTTTTTATTTACATTTTGTTTTTATTTATATGTACTTTTTTTATTTTTATTAATTTTTTTATAGTTTTTTATATTTGTAATTCTTATACATCTACTTCTATATAATATACACTTTATTTTTGTATACAAATATAAGTAGTTTACAGCAATAATTTTACTCTCATCTAAATGTATACAATTTGGTGAAAATTTCTAGTATCATTTTGGAAGGGAATAGTCTGTTCAATCTTTAATATATAGACTGAACTAGTTTAGTATAAAGTCCAGTCTAGTGTATAGAGTATAGCCTAATCTATAGTCAAGTATATAGTCTAATCTATAGTATATAATCTAATCTATAGTCTAGTCTATTCTTTAGTCTAGTTTCAGATCACTTCCAGTTCAGCTCTATTTCAGTTCTAGTTCAGCTCTAGTTCAGTTCTAGTTCGGTTCTAGTTCAGTTCTAGTTCAGTTCTAGTTCAGTTCTAGTTCAATTCTAGTTCAGTTCTAGTTCAGTTCTAGTTCAGTTCTAGTTCAGTTCTAGTTCAGTTCTAGTTCAGTTCTAGTTCAGTTACAGTTCAGTTCTAGTTCAGTTCTAGTTCAGTTCTAGTTCAGTTCTAGTTCAGTTCTAGTTCAGTTCTATTTCAGTTCTAGTTCAGTTCTAGTTCAGTTCTAGTTCTAGTTCAGTTCTAGTTCAGTTCTAGTTCAGTTCTAGTTCAGTTCTAGTTCAGTTCTAGTTCAGTTCTATTTCAGTTCTATTTCAGTTCTAGTTCAGTTCTAGTTCAGTTCTAGTTCAGTTCTAGTTCAGTTCTAGTTCAGTTCTAGTTGAGTTCTAGTTCAGTTCTAGTTCAGTTGCAGTTCAGTTCTAGTTCAGTTCTAGTTCAGTTCTAGTTCAGTTCTAGTTCAGTTCTAGTTCAGTTCTAGTTCAGTTCTAGTTCAGTTCTAGTTCAGTTCTAGTTCAGTTCTAGTTCAGTTCTAGTTCTAGTTCAGTTCTAGTTCAGTTCTAGTTCAGTTCTAGTTCAGTTCTAGTTCAGTTCTAGTTCAGTTCTAGTTCAGTTCTAGTTCAGTTCTAGTTCAGTTCTAGTTCAGTTTTAGTTCTGTTCTAGTTCAGTTCAAGTTCAGTTCTAGTTCAGTTCTAGTTTTAGTTCAGTTCTAGTTTTAGTTCAGTTCTAGTTCAGTTCTAGTTCTAGTTCAGTTCTAGTTCAGTTCTAGTTCAGTTCTAGTTAAGTTCTAGTTCAGTTCTAGTTCAGTTCTAGTTCAGTTCTAGTTCAGTTCTAGTTCAGTTCTAGTTCAGTTCTAGTTCAGTTCAAGTTCAGTTCTAGTTCAGTTCTAGTTCTGTTCTAGTTAATTTCTATTTCAGTATTAGTTAGGTTCTATTTAATTTCTTGTTTATTCTAGTCTATAATCTAGTCTATAGTCTTGTCTGCAGTCTAATGTATAGTCAAGTCTATAGTATAGTGTATAGTCTAGGCTATATTCTAGTATATAGTCTAGTCTATATTCTAGTCTATATTCTTGTCCATCGAATAGTCTGTAGTCTATCATATTTATAGAGAAATTTATAGTCTTTCGGTTTTTCGGTAGTGTTAATCGGTCGACTAGTCTGTTTCATGAACACTGCTATAATTTTGCATCATTCTGTTAATTGGGGGAGCGGGTCGGAGGTTTGTTTGTCAATATATATACGACTGCTAGAGTATGAATATAAAAGTCAAAACAAAATGGGGACAAATGGCTGATGATGGTTCGTTCTCTTTCTCTAATATGTATTGTTTTGTTTATTATTTTCTTTTATTGTTATTTTTTGTTTTTTTTTTACTTCTGCTTCGTTATACTTTCTTAATTTGTACTCGGTTTTTCTTTAGCTATTTGTAAAACTCTGGTCGTTTGCCTTTCGTCGTTTTGAGGTTTATGCCGGATTCTTACCGGTAAAATTTTTTTTACTGAGATCTTAAAATTCAAAATGTATTCATTATAAAAACTTTGTTCAAACAATAAACAACAAAACTATAGTGAAAAAAAACTATTAAAAAAAATTAAAAAAAAGAAAAACTTTTGCAAACAACGTGTATTTTTCATAAAGCAATTGCGTAAGTTTAACAAATTTAAATATTTTTTGTAAATTGTAAAAAACTACATACTACGCATTTATTTGAATATATTTTATACTTTTTGGTGGAATTTTTTTAATATTTATTTTACAAACATTTTAAAACGTGCTCATAAATAATTTAGAGTTTGTAATTTATACTTTAGGTTTGTAATATTACTTTTTATTTATTTATATTCTTTTTCTTTGGTAAACCTACATGCATATTTAATTAAAAACAAATAAAATTTACCTTTCAATTGCGTATTTAGAATACAAAATTTGTTGATAACAATATACAAACATATGTATAAATAATAGAATTTAGCATCAAATGTTAGAAGTGTGTGCCAAAATAAATTAAATTAATATATAAATTATTCCAAAATAGATTTCACCTAAATATAAATGAGAGTTTCTCAATTTTCATCAAAATTTACAGATTTTTAAACTTAAAACCTTCAAATCTGTGTAGCATTTAATGAAACAGATTAACAGATTTTTACTATTTAAATTTATAACTTTAAAATATGTAATAATAAATATATTATAATAATAACTTGCCCACGTTCGACAGCAGGTTTTAATTGAAAAAATAAATCAAATTTATTTAAATAGATAATTAACACTTTGAGAATTAATTGTACTTATGTGTATTTCGAGTCGATTTTGATTAGGAAAATGTGTAGAAAAAATCTGTTTATTATTAACAAATTTTGTTTACTTTTTTCTGAGGTTTCTCTTATCAATAATTATTTCAATGACAAAAAAAAAAAAAAAACCGCCGGCTAATTGATAAGCATTTAGTGGAACCCCTTGTGCAGAGTTTTGGCAAAAAGACACGCAATAATGAAGTGTCACAAAAGAATATGTGTTTCTAGATTTTAATGGAATATCTATTGAATTTTGCGTTATCTTTTAAAATGAAATTCAAAAATATTTTAACCCTATGAAGGAAAACTTCAGATCTGACAGAATTATAGATCAGTTCAGTTTTAGTTCTGTTCACATTCTGTTTTAGTTCAGTTCAAGTTGAGTTCTAGTTCAGTTCTAGTTTAGTTCTAGTTCAGTTCTAGTTCAGTTCTAGTTCAGTTCTAGTTCAGTTCTAGTTCAGTTCTAGTTCAGTTCTAGTTCAGTTCTAGTTCAGTTCTAGTTCAGTTCTAGTTCAGTTCTAGTTAGTTCAGTTCTAGTTCAGTTCTAGTTCAGTTCTAGTTCAGTTCTAGTTCAGTTCTAGTTCAGTTCTAGTTCAGTTCTAGTTCAGTTCTAGTTCAGTTCTAGTTCAGTTCTAGTTCAGTTCTAGTTCAGTTCTAGTTCAGTTCTAGTTCAGTTCTACTTCAGTTCTACTTCAGTTCTAGTTCAGTTCTAGTTCAGTTATATTTCAGTTTAGTTCAGTTCTAGATCAGTTCTAGTTCTAGTTCAGTTCTAGTTCAGTTCCAGTTCAGTTTTAATTCTGTTCTATATCAGTTCTAGTTCAGTTCTAGTTCAGTTCTAGTTCAGTTCTAGTTCAGTTCTAGTTCAGTTCTACTTCAGTTCTACTTCAGTTCTACTTCAGTTCTAGTTCAGTTCTAGTTCAGTTATATTTCAGTTTTAGTTCAGTTCTAGATCAGTTCTAGTTCTAGTTCAGTTCTAGTTCAGTTCCAGTTCAGTTTTAATTCTGTTCTATATCAGTTCTAGTTCATTTATAGCTCTAGTTCAGTTCAATTTAAGTTCAGTTCTAGTTCAGTTATATTTCAGTTCTACTTCAGTTCTAGTTCAGTTTTACTTCAGTTCTAGTTCAGTTCAGTTCCAGTTCAGTTTTAGTTCTGTTCTATATCAGTTCTAGTTCATTTATAGCTCTAGTTCAGTTCAATTCAAGTTCAGTTCTAGTTCAGTTCTAGTTCAGTTCTAGTTCAGTTCTAGTTTAGTTCTAGTTCAGTTCTAGTTCAGTTCTAGTTCAGTTCTAGTTCAGTTCTAGTTCAGTTCTAGTTCAGTTCTAGTTCAGTTCTAGTTCAGTTCTAGTTCAGTTCTAGTTCAGTTCAAGTTGAGTTCTAGTTCAGTTCTAGTTCAGTTCTAGTTTAGTAGTTCTAGTTCAGTTCTAGTTCAGTTCTAGTTCTAGTTCAGTTCTAGTTCAGTTCTAGTTCAGTTCTAGTTCAGTTCTAGTTCAGTTCTAGTTCAGTTCTAGTTCAGTTCTAGTTCAGTTCTAGTTCAGTTCTAGTTCAGTTCTAGTTCAGTTCTAGTTCAGTTCTAGTTCAGTTCTAGTTCAGTTCTAGTTCAGTTCTAGTTCAGTTCTAGTTCAGTTCTAGTTCAGTTCTAGTTCAGTTCTAGTTCAGTTCTAGTTCAGTTATAGTTAAGTTCTAGTTCAGTTCTAGTTCAGTTCTAGTTCAGTTCTAGTTCAGTTCTAGTTCAGTTCTAGTTCAGTTCTGGTTCAGTTCTAGTTCAGTTCTACTTCAGTTCTAGTTCAGTTTTACTTCAGTTCTAGTTCAGTTTTAGTACAGTTCTAGTTCAGTTCCAGTTCAGTTTTAGTTCTGTTCTATATCAGTTCTAGTTCATTTATAGCTCTAGTTCAGTTCAATTCAGTTCTAGTTCGGTTCTAGTTCAGTTCTAGTTCAGTTCTAGTTCAGTTCTACTTCAGTTCTAGTTCAGTTTTACTTCAGTTCTAGTTCTGTTCAGTTCCAGTTCAGTTTTAGTTCTGTTCTATATCAGTTCTAGTTCATTTATAGCTCTAGTTCAGTTCAATTCAAGTTCAGTTCTAGTTCAGTTCTAATTCAGTTCTAGTTCAGTTCTAGTTCAGTTCTAGTTCAGTTATAGTTCAGTTATAGTTAAGTTCTAGTTCAGTTCTAGTTCAGTTCTAGTTCAGTTCTAGTTCAGTTCTAGTTCAGTTCTAGTTCAGTTCTAGTTCAGTTCTAGTTCAGTTCTAGTTCAGTTCTAGTTCAGTTCTAGTTCAGTTCTAGTTCAGTTCTAGTTCAGTTCTTCTTCAGTTCTAGTTCAGCTTTAGTCCCGTTCCAGTTCAGTTCTAGTTCAGTTCAGTTCCAGTTCAGTTCCAGTTCAGTTTTAGTTCTGTTCTAGATCAGTTCTAGTTCATTTATAGCTCAGTTCTAGTTCAGTTCAATTCTTTTGTAGATATTAACCTAGCGAATTCTCTATAGACTTGTCTCTTAACCAGTCTATTCTTGTCTTGTTCTGACCTATAAATACGCTACGCAAAGACATTTATTTATAAACGCTCATGGTTTCAGAAACTATTTCATCTGCCCCTAAAAAAATCATCTGCCAACCAAAATTTAGTTGAAATTCTAACATTATATTTCATCATTTCATTTATTATTGAAATTTATTAACGAGAATCTCAAAAAATTATGACGTAGAAATATAGTATTGCGTAAATTTTTGTTTAAATGTTTTGTATTCATTATCAAAAACACTTCAATGACAAATTAGCCGGCATCCATTAGAAGACATACTATTTATATAGAACAAAATGATAATACAATTAAACAGGTGGAGCGGCTTTAGTTTTAGATAAAGTACAATTATAAATATTTGTGTATAAGCAATTTAATTTATAAACATTTAATACTTTTACAGATAAAAAATATTTCAACAAATACAAAAAAAAAATTAAAAGGCTTTTACAAATTTCAACAGCGTGTTTATAAAAGTTTAATTGACACAATAAATTGAAAATAAACAAAAAAATAAACTTCATTAAGGACAATTACAGCGAGAGCGTGTTTTAGAAGAAAAAACTCCAGCATCATTTGTTTGTCACGATTTACAAACTGCATACGCAAATTGCGTCATGTCCGCAACTTCGACTAGTACAGCACCACTTCATCATCAGCAGACTCAAAAGACTAGCAATCCTAAACTACAACAAACAACCTACAATAATCAGCAACAACAACAACATCCCGACATAACAAAGGAAGAATTCGAACGCATATCGGAAGCTCTTAAAAAAGAGGAATTTCGTAAATTATTCCTTGATTATATCGAAGAAATCCAAGATCCTGAAAATCGTAAACGTTATGAAGAGGAAATCAAACAAATTGAAGCTGAACGTGGTGTTGATGTAGTCTTCATACATCCTGAACCGGGATTTGTTATTAAAACTTCACAGGATGGCAGTCAAAAATGTTTTATCAATTGTGCGAAGAGTGAACATGTAGCTAAGCCAACAAATCAAATATGTTTGGACCCTAAGACGGGTACTCGTGGCCTCAGCTGGTCTATACCGATGGCTCAGGCACCACCACGTGATGATTTGGATAATAATAAGAAACGTTGCCGGGTCTATGATGTTGTCTTCCATCCGGATGCTTTGTATTTGGCCGAACGTAATACATCATTTCATAAGTGCCTTGTCGATACAGCGCTGGATGCTGTGGAGAGAGAATATAAGGTGAGATAGATAAATAGAAAGATAGATAGATAGATAGATAGATAGATAGATAGATAGATAGATAGATAGATAGATAGATAGATAGATAGATAGATAGATAGATAGATAGATAGATAGATAGATAGATAGATAGATAGATAGATAGATAGATAGATAGATAGATAGATAGATAGATAGATAGATAGATAGATAGATAGATAGATAGATAGATAGATAGATATCAGTCTGTAGTCTGGACTATAGTCTAGTCTAGTCTGACTATAGTCTATAGTCTGGACTATAGTCTAGTCTAGTCTATAGTCTGGACTATAGTCTAGTCTATAGTCTGGACTATAGTCTAGTCTATAGTCTGGACTATAGTCTAGTCTAGTCTATAGTCTGGACTATAGTCTAGTCTATAGTCTGGACTATAGTCTAGTCTATAGTGTGGACTATAGTCTAGTCTATAGTGTGGACTATAGTCTAGTCTATAGTCTGGACTATAGTCTAGTCTATAGTCTGGACTATAGTCTAGTCTATAGTCTGGACTATAGTCTAGTCTATAGTCTGGACTATAGTCTAGTCTATAGTCTGGACTATAGTCTAGTCTATAGTCTGGACTATAGTCTAGTCTATAGTCTGGACGATAGTCTAGTCTATAGTCTGGACTATAGTCTAGTCTATAGTCTGGACTATAGTCTAGTCTATAGTGTGGACTATAGTCTAGTCTATAGTCTGGGCTACAGTCTAGTCTATAGTCTGGTCTATAGTCTATTCTTTAGTGTGGACTATAGTCTAGTCTATAGTCTTGTCTGGTTTGATCTCTCACAAGCATTTTAAACATTTCCTAAAATTCCATTTGCCAAATTTCTACTTCATTTACAGGTCACCCTAGATCGTATTAACATCAAATTTCCTAAACTACAATTCAAGGGTATTGCCCGACCAACTGTGATACGTAAATTGGCTAAAGATCCACCGGCTGAATGTGAAGAACCACATCCGCTGGAGAATATCTATCCAGCTAAACCCTCAGATAATGCTGGTATACCCAAAGTGCTGCCTATGAAAACCATCGACTGTAGCAAAACAGCGACAGCAGCAACAAAGCAATCATCTGATTATTGCACCCCAAAGTACACAATAAAACATCGTCATGATGTTGATCTCACTGAATATACACATGAATTAGATGCTAAATTACATGTCTCTACACCGCGTGAACTAGTTGTAGACATTGAATTGCCCCTCTTGAATTCAAGCAACGAATGCCAATTGGATGTTACTGAGAAGACGGTGTTCTTGCTGAGCGAACGTGCGGGCGCTAGATATCGTTTGAACATTGATTTACCTTTTAAGGTGAACGATAAAGAGGGTTCGGCTAAATTTGATGTGGACACGAGACATTTAGTTATAACACTGCCCGTTATACGAGCAAGTATAGAAAAGCAAAGGCGTATGCATGAGAGCCTGCTACATTTAAGTCGTGAAGATAGTGGTGTCGAAAGTGATATGCGTGATGAATTGTTATCGAGTAATAGTGAATCGCCAGTAGAGGAAATAATTTCAACAACCATGGAACAAATCTTAAACAAGGCTAGTGAAGACATCAATCCTATACAAGAGGGTAAGTGTGAAAATATTAAATTATTAAACATACTTTAGGCAAAGTCTAATTAGATTTTTTCTTTGTTTTACTTTAAGCTTATGATACAAAATCGGAAGACTTTTTACAATCCAATATTGATTATCAATTACCTGCCAAATTCGATTGTAATGTTTTGGACAATACCATGTCTTATGTATTGCATGTACGTAATGTACAGGAAGACTCCTTACAAATAAAACGTGCTGATAATGAATTGCATTTAAAATTCATTTCCCTGGGCAGCGGTTATTATCCCACACATTATTCGTTTTACATACAACTTCCTAACCAGGAAAAAGAGGCTAAGATACTACAAGCCGATGCTGAGGCATGGGAAAATAATGTGGTTTTAAATGTACACTTGAACACAAGTGCCGAAAGTGTTTCTAGCTATCTAGCTGGTTTAGATAGTGATCATTTGCAAGAGCATGTATTGCAGCAAAAGTTAAAAGTGGCCCACAAGTCGAGACAACGACAAAAGGAACAACAGCCCTCTTTAGACATATCCATAGAACGTTCGGAATGTGAGAAAACTGTGGAAATTGAAATAAAATCTAGACCGGGTGAAATGTCTACCTGTAATGCCAATACTACAGAGGATGAAGAAGATGCCAATGCAAATGGTTCGGGAGAGGCATCTGCCTCCAATCAGACGAACCAAAAGAAAGTTAATAAAAAACAAAAACGTAAAAATAAAAAACGTCGTTCTCTTTCTGAGTCCGCTTGTGATGATATTAAAGCATATCAACAACAGCAGCAACAGTTGCAACAAAATTCCATACCAACTGCAGTGCCCGAAGTTAATGAAACAGAGCGCGATGAAAATGCAGAAGATGCCGATGATGATGAAGAAGATTCTTCGCCCGAACGTACAGAGAAAACCGCAAAATCTATGCATGCTACTTCACTATCCATGAATGTTCCCTTGGCTAGTTCAAACGACAACTCCGGTTTGACCCAGCAACGTAAACATCGTAGCTTCTCTGAATCTCGTGATAGCGCTGTTAGTTTTAGTGCTGGTAGTTCGTCGTACAAGGGCATTTTAAAGCATTACAGTCGTTATGAACCCAGACCTTCAATATCTGATTCCTGCGATTCCATCGATGAATATTCATCATCTGCCTATTCGACTTCTGTTGATGGCATGACTAGTGCTTTTAATTCTTTGCGTTTTTCACAATCATTTAGTGATATTCCGGAGGAAAATGTTGTTGGTCTTTCGGAAAGTTGCAAGAAGACTGTACGTTTTAGTGAAGTCATTAAGAAGCAGGTGTTTAGGTAAGTGTTTTCCCGAAGGTGGATTAATAAGTGTAATAATTAGTAGGGAAAAACAGTAAAAAGGTCTAAAGGTTGGGCTGTAGTCTGCACTATAGTCTAGTCTATAGTCTGGACTATAATCTAGTTTATAGTCTGCACTATAGTCTGGTCTGTAGTCTGCAATATAGTCTAGTCTGTAGACTGCACTATAGTCTAGTCTATAGTCTGGACTATAGTCTGGACTATAGTCTGGACTATAGTCTGGACTATAGTCTAGTCTATAGTCTGTACTATAGTCTAGTCTATAGTCTGGACTATAGTCTGTACTATAGTCTGGACTATAGTCTAGTCTGTAGTCTAGTCTGTAGTCTGCACTATAGCCTAGTCTGTAGTCTGCACTATAGCCTAGTCTATAGTTTAGTCTATAGTCTGCACTATAGTCTAGTCTCGACTATATTCTAGTCTGTAGTCTGCACTATAGTCTAGTCTATAGTCTAGACTATAGTCTAGTCTAGAGTCTGCACTATAGTCTAGACTAGTTTAGTCTGTAGTCTGGACTATAGTTAAGTCTGTAGTCTGGACTATAGTCCAATCTGTAGGCTGGACTATAGTCCAGTCTGTAGTCTGAACTATAGTCTTATCTGTCATATGGAGTGCAGTCTAGTGTGTAGTGTGAACTATAGTCTAGTTAATAGTCTGGACTATGGACTAGTCTGGACTATAGTCTAGTCTATAGGCTGGAGTACAGCCTAGTCTATATTATAATCTAGAATGTAGTTTTTTATAGTTTGGACTCCAGTACAATCTATTGTCTAGACTGTAGTCGTGGCTATAGGCTGGTATAATCTCTGTAGTCTTGGATATAATCTGGTCTATAGTCTGGACTATAGTCTAGTCGATAGTCTGGACTATATTCTAGACTATAGTTTAGTCTATAGTCTTGGCTATAGTATAGTTAGTCTATAGTCTTGGCTATAATCTGGTCTATAGTCTTGGCTATAGTATAGTTAGTCTATAGTCTTGGCTATAATCTGGTCTATAGTCTTGACTATAGTCTTGACTCTAATGTTGTCTATAGCCTGGACTATAGCCTAGTCTGTAGTCTGGACTATAATCTAGTCCATAGTCTGGACTATATTCTGGTCTATTGTTTAGTCTATAGTATTGACTATAGTCTGGACTATAGTCTTGCCTATGACATGTGATATACCCTAGTCTAGTCAACATATAGTGTTCGCTTGAAATAAGTATTACATTTCTTTAATATATCATTTAATGTTAAATTAATAATTTTTATATTCACAGATTAGACTCGAGCATCTTGGGACAACGTAAAAAGAATCAAAAACGTCGTGATCGCAAACAAAGAGCTTTGCAAAGACGTCTCAGTGAAGGAGATTCAGCTGACTATGAAGATAATAAGGTAAATTTATTAATTAAATAAATATAAATTTTTATTTAAATAAATTTAAGTTTAGTTAAAAAAATCATACAAGTTTCAAACATAAACATGATAAATAGTTGCTATTTTTTCGCTAAATTTACTACAGTTGTTTTAAATTGAAATTTTTAATGGATGGCATCTAAACGAACCCAATTTAACACAAGTTAAATAGTGACGCAGTCAGTATCTAAAGACAGATTTAACTGATTTGACTTTACATTTTGTCGTACGCATTTTATGTTTTCTTGTTGTTTACTTGATTTTTATTGTTTATGAGATAATAGAATGTGTATTTTTTTATTATTTTTCTGAAAAAAAAAACTATAAAAATAAACAAAAATAGGGAAATTATGGCACTATGCCAACTAAATGTATATGTTCTACATAAACTAAACAACCGGCCATCTTAACCACTGCCTATGGCATACGACGAGGGTATTATTTGTTTTCTTTTTTTTTTTCACTTTGTAATTATGAGATATTAGTTCGGTTTTGAAATGTACATATCATTTTGTTTATTATTTATTTTCATTTATTCATTTTACTTAATTTGTTTGTTATTCTTGTTGTCTTGTGTTTTTATACGTTACTTTAGTTTTTTTTATTATTTAATCGATTACAGCATTTAATTGCTGTAGGTTAGTTACACTTTTATAATAATTGCTATAAATAGTTTTTTTTTTCTTAATTTTTCTTTTAAATTGTCGACATTATTCTTTAATGATATTGTTATAACGATGTTAATATAACGACATTTTTGTAGTTGATCCATAAAATATTATATATTTTAGATCTTATCTATCTATGGGGACAATAGACTTGACTATAGACTACATTATAGACTAGACTATAGATTAAACTATAGACTATAAATTAGTTTATAGAGTAGACTATATATACACTAGACTATAGACAAAACTATAGGCTAGACTATAGACTGAACTATATACTGGACTATAGACTAGACTATATACTAGAATATAGAGTAGACTATAGACTATACTATTGACTATACTATAGAATAGACTATAGACTAGACTATAGACTAGACTATATACTAGACTATATACTAGTCTATAGACTAGACTATAGACTAGACTATATAATAGACTATATGCTAGTCTATAGACTAGACTATAGACTAGACTATATACTAGTCTATAGACTAGACTATAGACTAGACTATAGACTAGACTATAGACTAGACTATAGACTAGACTATAGACTAGACTATAGACTAGACTATAGACTAGACTATAGACTAGACTATAGACTAGACTATAGACTATAGACTAGACTATAGACTAGACTATAGACTAGACTATAGACTAGACTATAGACTAGACTATAGACTAGACTATAGACTAGACTATAGACTAGACTATAGACTAGACTATAGACTAGACTATACTAGACTATAGACTAGACTATAGACTAGACTATAGACTAGACTATAGACTAGACTATAGACTAGACTATAGACTAGACTATAGACTAGACTATAGACTAGACTATAGACTAGACTATACTAGACTAGACTAGACTATTGACTATACTATAGACTAGACTATAGACTGGACTATAGACTATACTATAGACTAAACTATATACTAGAATATAGAGTAGACTATAGACTATACTATAGAGTAGACTATAGACTAGACTATAGACTAGACTATATACTAGACTATAGACTAGACTATAGACTAGACTATAGACTAGACTATAGACTAGACTATAGACTAGACTATAGACTAGACTATAGACTAGACTATTGACTATACTATAGACTAGACTATAGACTGGACTATAGACTAGACTATATACTAGAATATAGAGTAGACTATAGACTATACTATAGAGTAGACTATAGACTAGACTATAGACTAGACTATATACTAGACTATATACTAGTCTATAGACTAGACTATAGACTAGACTATAAACTAGACTATAGACTAGACTATAGACTAGACTATAGACTAGACTATAGACTAGACTATAGACTAGACTATAGACTAGACTATAGACTAGACTATAGACTAGACTATAGACTAGACTATAGACTAGACTATAGACTAGACTATAGACTAGACTATAGACTAGACTATAGACTAGACTATAGACTAGACTATAGACTAGACTATAGACTAGACTATAGACTAGACTATAGACTAGACTATAGACTAGACTATAGACTAGACTATAGACTAGACTATAGACTAGACTATAGACTAGACTATAGACTAGACTATAGACTAGACTATAGACTAGACTATTGACTATACTATAGACTAGACTATAGACTGGACTATAGACTATACTATAGACTAAACTATATACTAGAATATAGAGTAGACTATAGACTATACTATAGAGTAGACTATAGACTAGACTATAGACTAGACTATATACTAGACTATAGACTAGACTATAGACTAGACTATAGACTAGACTATAGACTAGACTATAGACTAGACTATAGACTAGACTATAGACTAGACTATTGACTATACTATAGACTAGACTATAGACTGGACTATAGACTAGACTATATACTAGAATATAGAGTAGACTATAGACTATACTATAGAGTAGACTATAGACTAGACTATAGACTAGACTATATACTAGACTATATACTAGTCTATAGACTAGACTATAGACTAGACTATAAACTAGACTATAGACTAGACTATAGACTAGACTATAGACTAGACTATAGACTAGACTATAGACTAGACTATAGACTAGACTATAGACTAGACTATAGACTAGACTATAGACTAGGACTATAGACTAGACTATAGACTAGACTATAGACTAGACTATAGACTAGACTATAGACTAGACTATAGACTAGACTATAGACCTAGACTATAGACTAGACTATAGACTAGACTATAGACTAGACTATACTACTAGACTAGACTAGACTATGACTAGACTATAGACTAGACTATAGACTAGACTATAGACTAGACTATAGACTAGACTATAGACTAGACTATAGACTAGACTATATACTAGACTATAGACTAGACTATAGACTAGACTATAGACTAGACTATAGACTAGACTATATACTAGACTATTGACTAGGATATAGTCTATACTATAGACTAGACTATAGACTAGACTATAGACTAGACTATAGACTAGACTATAGACTAGACTATAGACTAGACTATAGACTAGACTATAGACTAGACTATTGACTAGGCTATAGACTATACTATAGACTAGACTATAGACTGGACTATAGACTAGACTATAGACTTGACTATAGACTAGACTATAGACTTGACTATAGACTTGACTAAAGACTAGACTATAGACTAGACTATAGACAAGGCTATAGACTAGACTATAGTCTAGACTATAGACTGGACTATAGACTGGACTATAGACTGGACTATAGACTGGACTATAGACTGGACTATAGACTAGACTATAGACTAGACTATTGACTAGACTATTGACTATACTATAGACTAGACTGTAGACTGGACTATAGACTAGACTATAGACTTGACTATAGACTAGACCATAGACTTGACTATAGACTTGACTAAAGACTAGACTATAGACTAGACTATAGACAAGGCTATAGACTAGACTATAGTCTAAACTATAGACTGGACTATAGACTGGACTATAGACTAGACTATAGACTAGACTATAGACTAGACTATAGACTAGACTATAACTAGACTATAGACTAGACTATAACTAGACTATTGACTAGACTATAGACTGGACTATAGACTAGACTATTGACTAGACTATAGACTATACTATAGACTAGACTATAGACTATACTATAGACTAGACTATAGACTATACTATAGACTAGACTATAGACTTGACTATACTATTGACTAGACTTTCGACTTGACTATAGACTAGACTATATACTAGACTAGACTATTGACTAGGCTATAGACTATACTATAGACTAGACTATAGACTAGACTATAGACTAGACTATAGACTAGACTATTGACTAGGCTATAGACTATACTATAGACTAGACTATAGACTGGACTATAGACTAGACTATAGACTTGACTATAGACTAGACTATAGACTTGACTATAGACTTGACTAAAGACTAGACTATAGACTAGACTATAGACAAGGCTATAGACTAGACTATAGTCTAAACTATAGACTGGACTATAGACTGGACTATAGACTGGACTATAGACTGGACTATAGACTGGACTATAGACTAGACTATAGACTAGACTATAGACTAGACTATAGACTAGACTATAACTAGACTATAGACTAGACTATAACTAGACTATTGACTAGACTATAGTCTAGACTATAGTCTAGACTATAGACTGGACTATAGACTAGACTAGACTATAGTCTAGACTTTAACTAGACTATTGACTAGACTTTGGACTAGACTATAGACTAGACTATATACTAGACTATAGACTAGACTATAGACTAGACTATAGACTAGACTATAGACTAGACTATGGACTAGACTATAGACTAGACTATATACTAGACTACAGACTAAACTATACACTAGACTATAGTCTAGACTACAGACTAGACTATTGACCAGACTATAGACTAGACTATAGACAAGACTATAGACTCGACTAAAGACTAGACTATTGTCTAGACTATAGACTAGACTAGACTGGACTATAGACAAGACTATAGACTAGACTATAGACTAGACTATAGATTAGACTATAGACTAGACTATAGATTAGACTATAGACTAGACAAGACCATAGAGATCAATATAGATTAGAATAAAAACTAGAATTTTCTAAGTACATATATACTAAAATGTTCCACTGTTCTTTAACAAAACACAATGTTAATAAAAAATTGTTTTTCTTTTCCTTTTAGCCCATGGCCCCATTGCCAGCCTCAACACCCAATGCTCAATATTTAAAATCGAAAAATAATCAACAAAATGTGGCCAACAATTGTAAAAATGTTAATAACAATAAACATAATAAAACAGCTGATAAGAAATCGAATAAATTACGTGCCAGATTAGAATCAGAATCATCATCAGATGTAGATAATCATAAAAACTCTATGATGTTTGAAATGGATATGTAAAAGCAACAATCACAACAACAGCAACATTCTTAATATTAAAAATCAATCATACATAAAAATACCACCCACCACCACCAACAGCATAAATTCAAAAAAAAAAAAAAATCATCACAAAAAACACACATATTTTTTCATAAAATTCATATTATATCAAGTAATTGTTTTATAGATGATAAATATGTATTAATTAAATGTAATTTTTAATTGTTATAGTGTAGTAGGGTTATAGAATGTAGTTTTCTAGTAACATTCGATTCGTAAATGCGAAAAATTAAAATAATGCCTTAAAAAAAACAAAACTGTTCATACATATGGATTAATTAAAAGCATGCTTTTTATTATTATTATTATCAAACAATTAATCATCATTATTAAATTAGTTACCTTTTCAAAATTGGCCTTAAGTTGAACAAATTTTATAAAGATTTATTTAACCTCACAAAATTATATTAGTTTTTAGTTATGATTTTTTTTTAACTTAATTATAACACAAATTCAAAAAAGACTTATTATATTTAAAAAAATTGTTGTTTCTGGAAAAAAATTTAAAATTTAAAAAAAATCTAAATTTTTGTTATTTTTTGTTTTAATTAAAAATTTTAGTTAATTTTAAATTGTATAATTAAATTGTATTGCTGTAATAATTGAAATTTTGAAATCTATCTTTGCATGCTGTGTAGTTATAAATAAATTACTGCCTAATTCTCTTTTTTTTTTATATTTATAAATAATATGTTTATAGAATTTAGTTTGTTAACTCAAATAGTTGCCTGTTATATGACTTAACTATTGAGTTTAACTATTTTCTTTGATTTATTTCCTTATGTTTTTTCTTATTACATATATGAAAATATTGAACACATTTTATTGTAATTCCTTAAATAATTGCGTATGTTAGAGAAGTAATTTTTTTATTATTATTTTCTTATTAATTATTTACAACACACATACACATGTATATGATTTTCTTTTATTATTGTCAAATAAATACAACATTTATGAAAAATTTAAAGAAATTTGTTTTATTTTAAAGAAATGTGACAGTAGGCAGAAGTTGAAATATTTAAATTTTAATCGAATAATTCTAAATTTTAGAAGGATAATGAGTCAGTGGGGTTTGTCGTAGAATCCATCTATCTATCTATCTATCTATCTATCTGTCTATCTATCTATCTATCTATCTATCTATCTATCTATCTATCTATCTATCTATCTATCTATCTATCTATCTATCTATCTATCTATCTATCTATCTATCTATCTATCTATCTATCTATCTATCTATCTATCTATCTATCTATCTATCTATCTATCTATCTATCTATCTATCTATCTATCTATCTATCTATCTACTCTATCTATCTATCTATCTATCTATCTATCTATCTATCTATCTATCTATCTATCTATCTATCTATCTATCTATCTATCTATCTATCTATCTATCTATCTATCTATCTATCTATCTATCTATCTATCTATCTATCTATCTATCTATCTATCTATCTATCTATCTATCTATCTATCTATCTATCTATCTATCTATCTATCTATCTATCTATCTATCTATCTATCTATCTATCTATCTATCTATCTATCTATCTATCTATCTATCTATCTATCTATCTATCTATCTATCTATCTACTATCTATCTATCTATCTATCTATCTATCTATCTATCTATCTATCTATCTATCTATCTATCTATCTATCTATCTATCTATCTATCTATCTATCTATCTATCTATCTATCTATCTATCTATCTATCTATCTATCTATCTATCTATCTATCTATCTATCTATCTATCTATCTATCTATCTATCTATCTATCTATCTATCTATCTATCTATCTATCTATCTATCTATCTATCTATCTATCTATCTATCTATCTATCTATCTATCTATCTATCTATCTATCTATCTATCTATCTATCTATCTATCTATCTATCTATCTATCTATCTATCTATATCTAGCTATCTATCTATCTATCTATCTATCTATCTATCTATCTATCTATCTATCTATCTATCTATCTATCTATCTATTCTATCTATCTATCTATCTAGCTATCGTATCTATCTATCTTATCTATCTATCTATCTATCTATCTATCTATCTATCTATCTATCTACTAGCTATCTATCTATCTATCTATCTATCTATCTATCTATCTATATCTATCTATCTATCTATCTATCTATCTATCTATCTATCTATCTATCTATCTATCTATCTATCTATCTATCTATCTATCTATCTATCTATCTATCTATCTATCTATCTATCTATCTATCTATCTATCTATCTTATCGAGCTATCTCTCTATCTATCTACCTACCTATTTTTCTGACAGCTTGAAATAAAAAAAGAAAACAATTTTTTTTATATAAAATTTTCATACAGTTTTTGTAACATTTATTAACTTTTAATTTAAATAATTAATTTCATTAACAAACTTCTTAACTTAGTTATAAAAATACTTATATAGCAAATTTTTGTACTTTCTACCATAATTTAAGAATAACATGGTCGTATCATGCTTCCCTCACACTTCCAGCTAAAATCGTTCTTCTACAATATTTCTAAAATGCATAATCTGTTGCAAATCGCGACGCTTAACTTCTAAAACATACAAAACGGGACAATCCAAAGAGCCACATTTTATATCTCCCACTCGACCGCAACATGCCTCACATATGTGTTGCGTTGCCAGATATGAACGTTCAATTTTAGAAATTTTCGATTGTAAAATAATCATGGAACGTGTTGAATTCTGACTGCATTCCATGCAAATACCCTGTTTCGTTTGGCGACCGCAATCAACAATACAATTAGTAGTGGAGAAAAATTGTGATATAGTACTCTTCTTAGATTTAGGATTAGGACAGGAAATAATTTCGCTGGCAGTGGAGAGAGCAGGTGTTAGAAGAATTTTTCGAGGTAAATTCGCAAACCTTAAAGAAAAGTTATCAAAGGAAAGTATTGTACTACCCATTTAAATGTTCAATCTAACTCCTTACCACTCACTGACATCGGCTCCGATAAGTAAAAGACAACGATTTAAGGGAGGTATTATGGCTTTGGTTATATAATAGACAGCATTGATTTTAAGACCTTCATCGCTTAACACCTCATGGGGATGACGTACCAAACGTATTAATGGTACACCTGGTGGTCCATTAGTTATAATAAACGGCACTCTTTCACCGCGACGAGGTATACGACGTGGATCTGATTGCATCCATTTTCTGAACAATTTATGTTTTGTTATTAGATGTAGATAGCATTAGTGGAGATAGTTTTCTTACCTAGTTAATTCTAAAGCGGGCACACAGGCCGTAGGACGATAACCATTGAGACCTCTAAACTCTTTAGCAAATATTAAATCTTGTAAATTCGCGCGCCCCGACAATAGTTTAGTAAATTGTCGACAAACATAATGTTTCACTTGACTTACATCTGCGGTTTCAAAGAGAATACGCAAAACCTTTTCTAACATCTAAAAGAAGAAGAAAGGTGGAAAAGCATTCACAACAGATCAAGTTCTAGATCAGTTCTTGTTCAGTTCTAGTTCTAGTTCAGTTCTAGTTGAGTTCTAGTTCAGTTCTAGTTCAGTTCTAGTTCAGTTCTAGTTGAGTTCTAGTTCAGTTCTAGTTCAGTTCTAGTTCAGTTCTAGTTCAGTTCTAGTTCAGTTCTAGTTCAGTTCTAGTTCAGTTCTAGTTCAGTTCTAGTTCAGTTCTAGTTCAGTTCTAGTTCAGTTCTAGTTCAGTTCTAGTTCAGTTCTAGTTCAGTTCTAGTTCAGTTCTAGTTCAGTTCTAGTTCAGTTCTAGTTCAGTTTTAGTTCAGTTCAGTTCTAGTTTAGTTCTAGTTCAGTTCTAGTTCAGTTCAGTTCTAATTCAGTTCTACTTCAGTTCTAATTCTAGTTCAGTTCTAGTTCAGTTCTAGTTCAGTTGTAGTTCAGTTGTAGTTCAGTTGTAGTTCAGTTCTAGTTCAGTTCTAGTTCAGTTCTAGTTCTAGTTCAGTTCTAGTTCAGTTCTAGTTCAGTTCTAGTTCAGTTCTAGTTCAGTTCTAGTTCAGTTCTAGTTCAGTTCTAGTTCAGTTCTAGTTCAGTTCTAGTTCAGTTCTAGTTCAGTTCTAGTTCAGTTCTAGTTCAGTTCTAGTTCAGTTCTAGTTCAGTTCTAGTTCAGTTTCTAGTTCAGTTCTAGTTCAGTTCTGGTTCAGTTTTAGTTCAGTTCTAGTTCAGTTCTAGTTCAGGTCTAGTTCAGTTCTAGTTCATTTCTAGTTTAGTTCTAGTTCAGTTCTAGTTCAGTTCTAGTACAGTTCTAGTTCAATTCTAGTTCAGTTCTAGTTCAGTTCTAGTTCAGTTCTAGTTCAGTTCTAGTTCAGTTCTAGATCAGTTCTAGTTCAGTTCAAGTTCAGTTCTAATTCAGTTCAAGTTCAGTTCAAGTTCAGTTCAAGTTCAGTTCAAGTTCAGTTCAAGTTCAGTTCAAGTTCAGTTCAAGTTCAGTTCAAGTTCAGTTCAAGTTCAGTTCAAGTTCAGTTCAAGTTCAGTTCAAGTTCAGTTCAAGTTCAGTTCAAGTTCAGTTCAAGTTCAGTTCAAGTTCAGTTCAAGTTCAGTTCAAGTTCAGTTCAAGTTCAGTTCAAGTTCAGTTCAAGTTCAGTTCAAGTTCAGTTCAAGTTCAGTTCAAGCTCAGTTCAAGTTCAGTTCAAGTTCAGTTCTAGTTCCAGTTCAGTTCTAGTTCAGTTCTAGTTCAGTTCTAGTTCAGTTCTAGTTCATTTAAAGAATAATTTACCTTAGCTACCATTGGACAGCCATCTCTTCTAACAGTTTCAATACCTTTAGCTTCATAAACGGGTTCCTTTTGATCGGGGGTCTCATACATATAACCGACATAACGTTTTTTGGTCTGCAAATAAAGTTTTTTAGCTTTAACTTTGATTAATGTTAAAGCCATACCTGTAATATGCAGGGCTGGTAGACTTTTTCCAGTTTCAATTTAACCGGATGAGGATTTTGTTTTGTTACAGCCTCAGCAATTTCCTCGCCAATGCGAAATGCTTCATCACGATTACGTCCCGGCACTAAAACAAACATGGAATCGGTGTCACCGTAAACTACTCTAACATTCCATTTATCATTGACTTCCACCATTTTAATGGCACGCTCTAGAGTTTCACGGCCCTTCGAAACTACACTATCACCTACTTCTACAGCTGGCATACGACCACTAAAATTGGCAGCTGTATAACCATAAGTAACATTAGCCATTAGTTTCAGACCCAATTGACGTGAGTGTAAAATACGTTGTAAGGCTGAATTAGATTTATGTAGTTTCATGGATTGTTTAACCATTTGACGGGTATCGAGGATTTCTGTTAGCATACGCGGTAATATACCTTCACGCACCGCTGATTTGACAAACACCACGCCACAAGGTGAAATGGTGATGAGATCACGATCCACTAATTTACGCAACATAGCCGGAGAAACACGCAATTGTGAGGCACCAAACTCAAATGGTGTCGATCTAGTAATTAAGATATGTCATAATTTTATCAAAATATCTTGCATAATACTCACTGTCCCAAATGTTCTACCCTTCCTAGACAGGTGGAGAAACAATAGTTGTAGGCTATTATCATGCTAGGATATAAACTTTGAAAATCTAAAACTATTAAAGGATCAGCATAAAAGCGAGATTGAGGTTCCATAATTAAAGCCAAATATTCGGGAGCTCTCATATGGGCACGCTGCTGGACGCTAGGCGATAATGGTACCAAATTTTTAGGTTTAGCAATTCTAGAAGTATAAAAAAACTTGATAACACATATTCTTCCCTTTTATTTTTCTTTAAAATTCCCTTTACCTTAACATCATACTTTCCACCCGAAATTGTGATCCTCTCGACAGAACTTCATAGAATTGTATACCTATCAGTTTAGCCATTTCACTTGTACGTCCTATTAAATCAAGCTGATCTAATAGGGCCAATGTACCTCGTACTCTTTCCAAATAATATTCTATGACAATCCAACGTGAACAGGGTGAAGAAAACCATTCGGTTAAATTGCGATAACTATGCCAGGGACAACGTTTGTGCATGATATGATACATAACATTTTCGAAGGTGTAGGAGGTCAAGGCAATTTCCGAACGTAACAGACGCCAGACATCTAGTAAAATGCGACCACAAAGTTTCATCTAGGTAATAGTTAGGGAGAATTATTAACGTATATACGTTTAAAACTATAGCTCTGGAAATTTGAGGGAGTCCTAATAGGAACTAAGAATCAGCTAATGAAGAAATTTTCAAAAATAAAGCATATAATTGAGCCAATAATACTGTATCTTTGGATGATCCAAAACATCTACATTTTCGGTTTCTCTAAATTTTAGTAACGTGTTATTATTTCGTACTTTAAACAGTATGAGCCGATCTTCTTTAAGAATTCCAAATCAAAACATTTTTCTAAAGACTCATTGGCTCAAATATTTTCATCATTTAACCGACAAGACAAGGTCTTGGTTAGGCGCAGTATTTTCATAACCTTCTTGGACATCAGTATTTATATTATCGAGACGACTCACCACTGTAACTTGAGACTTGCAAAAAACACACTCTATACACAAGCAATTTGCTCAAGTACTAAAGATAACTAATCTCTGCTATTGTAGTCAAAGTATACTGTGATGATTGCACTGATAACCATACTACTATACCCTCTATTGAATCGGCACCATCAAGTAGAACATGGAATCCCATTCAATTAATAAGCGTTAACTAGAAAATTTCCCTACCAATGAAGAAGCACATACTGAAAACGGAAGAGAGATATTCCCTAACCGATTCAATTCCTATTATTTGAGCGTTTAGCCACTTCACTCAATGTTAAGATGGTAACATAACGAAAGGATTTACTGGTTTCCGTGTCACCAGATTGGAAAAGGCACTCTGGTCTGACGAGAATGACCGGAAACCCCATATATATAGAGCGACCGAATAATAGCCATTACATCAGCAATCCATGAACATTTGGAAAACCAGTCTCTCGGCATTTGAACCAATTCGCTATCAAACTCTATTTATCTGATCAATGAAACGTTCAAATGGAACGGAATTATTTTTTTAAATCTGTCCAGTTGGGATTAGGTACTATTCACTACATCTATATTCTACACTCTCTAAATCTTTGTGATCACTACACTTTTCTCTCTACTCTCCTGTATATACATTTATGTTTTTTCTCATTTCATTATCTTATTCTCCTTCAGGCATTACCAATAGACCTTCTGAACCCAATTAAAGTTGTAATCTACAGTATTACAGTGGTTTGATAAACCTAAAAAACTTTCATAAAGAATGATGAATGATTGTGTTTCAGTTTACCAATACCACTATTTTTAACCTAACCTGTGTGTAGATATTTAGATGATTATTTATTGAGCTCCTAGAGAGAGAGATAAAGCAAAATGAAGTGTTGTTTGCAAATTACACTGATAGAAATTGTTGAAATTTTATGAGAAAGTTGCAGTATCTTTCCGTCAACTGATTGAATTTGAGAGGTCTCTTCGTTATCAGCAGTTGCGGAGTCATTCGAAGTTCTTCTTCTTACCACACTGACGCGACACCTAACAGTGTCTAATCTACAGGAGACATTCTAATGCTGAAAACTTTGAAAAGTTTGGATTTGAGGAGGAAGATGCAGAACCTTTCCGCCCATTGATCAAACATGGGAAAACAATCTGTTTATTAGTCGCTCGAGGCTGTTCTCCTTACCACAATGACGCAACACCTAATAGTGGCTCATCAAAATAGGCTGAGATTTGAGTTTATGAGAAAGATGCAGAAACTTTCCTCTGATTGACTAAACATGAAAAATCAATCTGTTTTCAATAGTCACGAAGACACTCGTGGCTCTTATCTTAACCAAATCGATGCGACACCTAACAGTGGTTCATCTACAGGAGCTGATTTTCTTAAAGAGAGTATATATGGGAGCTAGGGTTAATGTGGAGAGTATAGTTGTATGGGATCTTCGTCTTGGGATTAATAGAAACGTATGGGTCATGTCTAATCACATTTTTTAATAATTGGGACCTGCAGTTTGATTATAAAGTTTGCATGAATGGGCGGACATAGGTAATTCGAATTGGAAAATGATTCTGAAACGATTGGTATTCTTTAAGGTGGGCGTATGACTAGTAGTTCTATGCTTTATATACATACATCAGCATAAACCCACTTCACTATAGTGGTGTATGATTTAAATATTTATTATAATGATTCTTGGGGTTACACATAAAATTCACATAAATTTTTAACTTTCGCGTTTAACTAGAGTACTTTAAAGCTTTGAAAAAATATTGAAATGTTTTCCACTTACCTCTACATCCAAATCCGTAAACGACTCTCGATCTTCATCCACAAATTCTCTAACTTTCTGTGTTGGAACTCTTGACAATAAAGGTGCAATATTCAAACACAAATACTTGGCACGTTCAATAACAAAACCCCAAGAAGACATTTCTATTTCATAGCCAGCATAAATGTCAGGATCCCAACGTGAACATAAACCCAATAGAGCTTCCAAAGCCTCAACTTCAGTTTGAACAATGGTCACTTCAATATCATTATCAATGCCATGAATACGACCCTCCTTAGCAACAATATCACGAGAATCATGTACCATTATATAGCCACAAGCTTTGCGGGGTAATTTTTTATCGACATCAATATGATCGTTGGGTATACTATTTTCTATGGCATAAAATAGGCAACGTATTTCGTCCATTTCAGGATTGGGAAATAAATCATCACGTGTGGCCACAAACACTTCCAAGGTGACAATGGTAAGATAATTGAACTAGAGTAAAGAGTGAACTTAAGGGTTATTTCTAAAGCAAAGTGTTGAAAAATTTACCTCTACATCTGCCTTGGCCTGTTGCAGGTTCTCCAAAGCCACTTTAAAACCAAAAGTATTATTCAAAGTGGAATTCTCTGAAAAGCCACCAATGGTAACATCGGCTTCCTTTAACTGCTGCATAAAAGAGGAACGTTCCAATTCCGCCAGAGCAGTTTCACTACTAACACTAGTTTCACTATTTTGAGAATTGGCTATAACACTGCCTTGACTATCCTTTATAGCTTCTAACTCCTGTGAGCTTTCTTTAGATGCTTCCTTTTCGAAAGCCTCCTTAAGTTGTTTATTTAGAGCAACACGCCGAAAAATTCTATAATTTTTACGTTTTCTTAGGGAACTATCCAGTTTTAAGGGTACTTTTCCAAATTCCTAGTAACAGGTGTAAAACTTTTCTTAACATCTGCTTTGCTGTAATGTTCATTTCCGGTTGGTGTTCCTGGTGTTAGAGGCGTTAGCGTTAGACTTCTGGAAGAACAGTCCAAACTATTATCACCATCATCACTGTCTGCTTCGCCTGCATCGCCAGCATTCAACATCATAGTTACTTTTTGTCGTCGTACTTTAATTGGACTGTCTTCTTCCAGGTTTTTCACTTTCATGTCTTCCACTCTTCTCCTTTAGTTTTTAACAACTCCCTAGCTTTCAGCCATAGTTTAACTTCTTGTCTAGTGGGAGCATTATTTGGGGAGTTATAATAACCGATTTTTGATTGGCAAAATATTCACGTATACGTTGTGGATTACGATATTTATTAACATTTCTACTCCCCCTAGTTTTATTAGTTGTTGACGTCTCCAGGAGGTTAAACCTTTGACGTCTGTACCCAATATACTTTGGAATTCTTCTACATCATTTAGTTTATTACCCGGTATTTGGAGTACGGTGAAACCAAGTTCCTTATGCTTGGTGATATCATCGGGATTACTGTAGAACGGTTGTTGGAAATCATATTCTGGTAGTTGAAACTTACGACAACCTTTCAGCACTTCTTCCCGGCTGGGAGGTAAATCTAGGGGAGTTAAAACTATATTCGTTTCTGATGTTATTAGGGAATGATTACTCGAAGAAGACGATATAGTTATATAGCTTTCCAATTGTAAGGAATTGGATCTAGAGGTTGTTTTTGATTGGGCTTGTAATACTGGACTAGAATTCTGGGTAAATATTACTGGACTTTGTAGACTTATTGATTTACTACCCAACCTTTTAAATTTGGGATCTTTATCAGTTTCTTGTGGTGGAGGTTTCAGTGATTTCCTCATCTGAACATTGTTTATTTGGAGACTTAGAAAGAATATCAAATAAAGGAGTTTCGAAGATTTCTTCATCTGAACTTTCTTTGATTTGGGATTCAGGGAAAATGTCTAACGATGGAGTTTTTGTAGATTTTCAGTAGTGGCTTCTAGATTTGGTGAAATCGTGCTGTTCCGAGTTTCTATATTGCGATTGGTTGTGTCATCTTTATCTTCCTTTTGAGATTTATACTTAATTTCAATTGATGACGGTTTTGGATGGTGGTTTCCGGTACAGCTTTTGAAGTTGCAGATTGATTGGAAATGCAACTTTAGAGCACTGCTTAAATCTTCTAATTTAGTAGAAATTTGCTGATCATTTGTTAGATCAGAACTTTTTGAATTATCTTCTCTAGATTCTACACTTTCTAAAGCTTTAGGTTTTACCACTTGGTTGGAATTTTCTTTTAATTCCATATCACACTTTAAGCCATCGTTTACATTTCCTAAAGTTTCGACATAGCTTTCTCCGGATTTCGTATTAACTGTTCTATTTTTACTTTCCTGCTCTTCTGATTCTGTTAGTTTCTTGAGTCTCACTTTACATTTTTTCAATTTTAAATGATTTTCCTCCTCAATTTCATTAGGTTTGCGTTCATCTGTTGCACAATCAAATTTTGATGAATTAACTAATGAGCTAGTACTAGATCTAGTATTTTTCTACGTTTTGCCGAATTGGCTGCTATAAAACTACGCCTTAATCTCTTTAAATTTGGTGTTTTACGTAAATTTTTCATGGCTACTTCACCCTCATTACCAGAGTCAACAATTTCTTCATCTGTTTCCTTATTAGAGTCAATTTCTTTCACTATTTCCAAGTTATTTGCAACAGTTTCTTTTAATTCATCTTCTAAGTTATTTGGTACATCCACCGCCAAGTCCGGCTTTTTGGTGAATTTCCTAGTTACTTTCAAACATCTTTTGTTTACAGTTTTTGTCGGGTTTTCCCCTTCTAAACTAATTGGTTGTTTGGCTTTTGTATTGTATTACAGCGACTGGAATATGTGATTTTCTTTTTTTTAAAATTTCCTTTTTCTTTATATCATCTTGGATATTTTCACTTTCCTCGGGGGTATCTTGTGCGTCGTCCCCAATTTCATTATCCTTATTATCCAAACTATAAACTTTAAGTAATTTTGCATTTGTTCGTCGGGGTGTTAAGGCACATGTGACATGAGTTTTATCTAAATTAACTAATCTTTTGGAACGTCTTCGATTGGAACTGAAATAATATTTCAAGATTTAATAAATGGGAGTTTATAACTTTATATAATTTTACTTTTAACAAAATTTATTAATTAATTAATATTAACTTATACTAAACTAAAACTATGAATGTAAGTGCTAGTGCAATATCTGACAAGTTTTCATCAGTTAGATTATCCACAGACGTCTCTACGATTCTCGTTAAATGCAGTCGTATTCGAGTTTTAAAGTTGGGATGACTCCTTGGGAGATTTTCCATGTGGAATATATCTTGTAAGCTCTCCTCTTATACAATGGTTATTACTGATATTCTTCGGGAAATGATGAATTTGTGTGATATGAAGATGGGATTTCTCCTTCGGTGACATACTAGGAAGAATATATCATATAAGTTACACACTTATATACTAAGATCATGACAGACATGTTTTGGGGGAAGATCGACTTGTGTGCTAATAAAGTTAAGATGATTTCCTCTAGGGATAGACAACTAGGAAAAGTTGTATTGTCATATTGTTATGTTACATGACTGGTCTGCATTTCCATATTTGGATTAAGCACAGCTCAATCCTTTAGAAGAAACTTTAGTCTCTGGGTTTCGTTGGCAAGTGGAGCAGAAGATTACTCTAACATTTTTTCTTTTCATTTTAATTTTTCCAACATTTTTTTCTTTTTATTTCGTTTTAATTTTTCAATTGTAATTATATAAAATAACTGAAAAAAAACTTACCTGGTACTTTCGGCTACAGCAGTAACCTGATCCTCCACATCTGTATCGACCGATATGCTTTTGCGGCGCATATCAGACAAAGCTAATTTTTTGCGTAAAGATAACATTGGCCTAAAAACAACACAAAATATTAATATTTTAACATTTCTATACATACTAGAAAGCATACAAACTGTTTCGTTCTCCCGAGGACTGTTTCAAAGGTGTAGTGTCATTAACAGCTTTGGCTTAAAATAAAGAAAATTTGATTAATATTTATATTTGCCAATAATATCTAATAACATACTTTTACCCGTAGAACGATCAATAGAAACTAAAGGTAAAGCAGCATATTTATGTCCAGTTTTAGGTGTTCTGGGAGAACGACAGGGAGAACCCATAGTTAAACGTCTATTTTAGGAGTAGTGGGGGTATGTGGCGGCGTACCCCTATTGTTAGCTGCCACGGTTTTTGCTGCCTTTGTAGGAGTTCTTAGCAAATCATCAGCTCCATCTACTTGTGGAACATCCAATGAAGATTTTTCATTAGGCGCATGTGGTTGTTTTTGTGATTGTGTTAGTTTTAGTATTAAATCATCTAGATTTTCTAAAGCTATAGAAAAATCATGTATATTATCATCATTTTCTTGATCATCTTCAGAATCAGTGTAGGCAGAGGGTTTATGCAAAGCAGCATTTGTGGTTTCTTTATCCAATTCTTGAGGTGATAAAGCAACTAGCAATAGGAATTTAAATACAATTTATTTTAAATTCACTTAAGTTTTTACTCGTATTAACTTACAATTTTTATGCATTTGAGACATAGGCGCTAAACTACTATCTAAATCAATTTTATCTTCATTATTCTCTTCCAATTGTTGTAAGATATCTAATAATTCCATGTCTTCCTCACGTACTTTATACCAGAAATAGACAATTAAAAACATGTGAAGATATTAATAAAGCTTTCTTTTACTTACAAGTAACATTCATGGGTACATGCTCCTCCTCAGCTGCTTGATTTTGTTGTTGTGTTAAACTTAAGACCAATTCTTCATCGACTATAGTATCTTCCAGAAAAACACTTTCATCTTCGGGTATTTTTATTATTTCCTGCTCTTTTGTCTCATTTGATTTTACCATAAGACTCTGCTCAAATATACTGCTATTGCTTAAATGATTTGGTATCACTGAGGCATTAATTAAATTATCATTTTGTGTACATTCTTCAGGATAGACGGAGTTTTGTAATATCTTTGTTAAATTAAATGTTCTCTTCTGCTGTTTGCTATTTAAACTTGTATTGCTGGGATTAAGAGTTATATTTGAAATAAGACTTGAATTAAGAGTTTGATTTGAAATTTGCGTTGACTCTAGTATGGAGGTTTCCATAGCTAATAGTTTACTTAATAATGCTGTACGATAGAAAATTTCACTTTCGGTTGGTTGGACATCGGGTCGTTCTTGTGTGGCTGGTATTTCAAGTCGAGGTATCTACAATGTAATGGTGGGTTAAAATGTTATTTCAAAACAGCAACTGAAGTAGAACTGGCCTAAAACTAACTAGAACTGAACTAAAGCTAAACTTAACAAGAACTGAACTGAACTAAAACTAAACTAGAACTGAACTAGAACTGAACTAGAACTGAACTAGAACTGAACTAGAACTGAACTAGAACTGAACTAGAACTGAACTAGAACTGAACTAGAACTGAACTAGAACTGAACTAGAACTGAACTAGAACTGAACTAGAACTGAACTAGAACTGAACTAGAACTGAACTAGAACTGAACTAGAACTGAACTAGAACTGAACTAGAACTGAACTAGAACTGAACTAGAACTGAACTAGAACTGAACTAGAACTGAACCAGAACTGAACTAGATCTATAACTAAACTAGATCTATAACTGAACTAGATCTATAACTGAACTAGATCTATAACTGAACTAGATCTATAACTGAACTAGATCTATAACTGAACTAGAACTGAACTAGAACTGAAATAGAACTGAAATAGAACTGAACTAGAACTGAACTAGAACTGAACTAGAACTGAACAAGAACTGAACTAGAACTGAAATAGAACTGAACTAGAACTGAACTAGAACTGAAATAGAACTGAAATAGAACTGAACTAGAACTGAACTAGAACTGAACTAGAAATACTAGAACTGTACTAAAAATAAACTATAACTGAACTAGAAATATACTAGATCTGAACTAGAACTTAAATAGAACAGACTTAGAACTGAACAACAACTAAACTGAACTAGAACTGAACTAGAACTGAACCAGAACTGAACTAGAACTGAACTAGAAATGAACTAGAACTGAACTAGAACTGAACTAGAACTGAACTAGAACTGAACTAGAACTGAACTAGAACTCAACTAGAACTGAACTAGAACTGGACTAGAACTGAACTAGAACTGAACTAGAACTGAACTAGAACTGAACTTGAACTGAACTAGAACTGAACTAGAAATAAACTAGAACTGAACTAGAACTGAACTAGATCTATAACTGAACTAGAACTGAACTAGATCTATAACTGAACTAGAACTGAACTAGAACTGAACTAGAACTGAACTAGAACTGAACTAGAACTGAACTAGAACTGAACTAGAACTGAACTAGAACTGAACTAGAACTGAACTAGAACTGAACTAGAACTGAACTAGAACTGAACTAGAACTGAACTGAACTAGAACAGAACTGAACTAGAACTGAACTAGAACTAGAACTGAACTAGAACTGAACTAGAACTGAACTAGAACTGAACTAGAACTGAACTAGAACTGAACTAGAACTGAACTAGAACTGAACTAGAACTGAACTAGAACTGAACTAGAACTGAACTAGAACTGAACTAGAACTGAACTAGAACTGAACTAGAACTGAACTAGAACTGAACAAGAACTGAACTAGAACTGAACTGACTTAGAACTGAACAATAACTAAACTGAAATAGAACTGAACCACAACTGAACTGAACTAGAACTAGAACAAATCTTACCGCATTCAATTTCTCTTCATCATCCTCTACACTTTTCGCTAGTTTTTGTCTTCTTAAACGTTCATCATTCCAGATAGATTCAATACCCGGATTTGTATGTGTTGTATTCGTTTTAGTAATCAATTGGAAACGATTCAAAATAAAATTAGAACCAATATCAATTTCCAACGTACTGCAGGATATTTTTTTAACAATATTTACATCTAGCATTTGTGTTTCCTGAAGATTCCGAAATGGAATCAACTCAGCATTATCACTGCGACGAAATTTCACAATTTCCAAAGGAATATGTAAAAAACTCATGCCATATAAATTATAATCAATCATAAATTGTAAAATATATGGAACATGAGACTCATGAGGATGAAAGTTTTTATTTAAAATAGCACCATTTTGTAGAAGATTTGCCGCTCTTCGTATAAAGCGAGGATTGAACATGTAAATTTTAAGAAATTGATGATCAGAACGATGGTAACCATAAAATGGTCTATAAAGAATTATTATTAGTTAAAATATAAGTTAAAAAGTGATAAAAACTTACATGCCCTTAACCAGTTGTATTTTAAAAACATGCTGAGCAGAGGAACTACCTTGGCTGAGCGATATATTTATGGCCTTATCCAAATTGATAGCAATTTGATAGATAGCCTTATTTAGCGACTCAAAATCCTTTTGATCATAGGGTATATAGAAATAAGGAAATACACCATGCACATGCAGGCAGGTTTTTTGTCCCTGAGCATTTGGACCAAATATGCGTATAACTGGTACCTTTTATTGAGAAAGACTGTAGTTATTGGTCCGCAAACTTTTTTTTTTACTTCTCCTACTTACCCTTTTTATTTCTTTACCACGAAATTCCGAATAACAAGCATCCAATCCTGGTACCGGCTTTTCCATATAAAAATCTGCTATAACTAAACGCAAGGAAAATATTCCTTCTGCTCCAGACATTTTATGGAATTTTATTACATGGTATTAAAGAAAATTCACACTTTTAATATAAAATTAAAGCAATTATGGCGAAATAGTTGAAAGTAAATTTTCGTTGTAATTGCGCCACACAACAATAATAAAAAAAAACTTAAACAGCTGTGAGATGTAAACAAAACAATACAATAGAGGTGATACATATTCGATAACTATTAACTACTAAATACACGAGGGTTGTAGGAATTTCAAACTAAAACTGAACCAGAACTGAACTGGAAAGGAATAGAACTAGAAATAAACTAGAACTGAATTAGAAGTGAACTAGAACTGTACTAGAACTAGAACTGAACTAGAACTGAACTAGAACTGAACTAGAACTGAACAAGAACTGAACTAGCACTGAAGAAAAACTGAACTATAACCGAACTAGAACTGAACTAGAGCTGAACTAAAACTGAACTAGAACCAAACTAGAACTGAACTAGAGCTGAACTAGAACTGAACTAAAACTAACCTAGAACCAAACTAGAATTGAACTAGATCCAAACCAGAAGTGAACTAGAACTGAACTAGAACTGAGCGGCGATGAACTAGAACTGAACTAAAACTAACTAGAACCAAACTAGAAATAAACTAGAATTGAACTAGAACTGAAATAGAACAGAAACTTAAGGTGAAGTAGAAATAAACTAGAAATGAACTAGAATAAACTAGAACTGAACTAGACCTGAACTGGAACTGAACAAGACCTGAACTAGAACTGAACCAGAACTGAACTGTATTAGTACTGAACGAGAACTAAACTAGAACTAACCTAGAATTGAAAATTCTTCTATCACTAATACTTTTATATACTTACCAACTTATTTACTTCCTTAAAAAAAAATACAAACTTTTTAGTAGTTTTTAAATTTTTTGTTTTTTTTTATTGATTTTTCTTTATTTTCTCTTAACATTTCAATAGATTTCAAATGTTTTATGAATTTTGTAATTTGAATAATTTGTTAATTTGAAATTCATATTAAAATGCTTAATTATAATTTAATTTTATTTACTTTTTTATTATAAACTTTTAGGAAAGTAAAAAAATTATTTTCTTTTTATATTTTGTAAGTGTTAATAATGAAATAAAGTTTTTAAATAAAAATTTAAAGAAGATGATGGTAAATTAAAAGTGTTGTTAACATTTATAGTAAAAACATTAGTTACGTTAAATTCAAATTTGAAATTATTTAGAGAATTATATTTTAAATAAAATTTCAATATTTTATTTAATTTGTGTTAATTGTGAGAGTATTTTGGAAAATATATTTTGTTAATTAGTTTTTAAATTATTTTTGTTTTTGAATTTTAATAATTTATGCATTAATTATGGTTTTAAATAGTGCTTAATTTATATTTTTATTTATTTTTTTTTTAGCTTAGAAAATTTGTAAGAATTACATACTATCAATTTAAATTATTAATAAATTTTACAAAGTGCACATTTTTTTTTTATTTTCTTTATTTGTTTGTTAATATATTTATTTATGTATTTATGGTGTGAAATTTATTGTTTTTGTAATCTATTATGTTTTTTTTCTTCTTCTTTTTTAATAAAATTAATGATTTCTT